CCAGCAGTATATAATATAAGATTTTGACAAAGAAAAAGAGACTTACGGTCTGGTTATGCGCGTCATATGGGCCAATTTTGTCAATTTTTTTGCTAGAGATATCACATATCCACAATTCAAAAGAGCCAGATCCTTTTCCTACTGCTAAGTGCATTTTGTGCGGAGACTTAGCAGGCACAATGACTGAAAGTACTGAAACTGGGACAAAATCCACAGTTGCAACCTATTTAAAAGTTCAAAAATAAAAGCACATTTAATAATATAATAAAATAACATGCAGAGTGATTAAAAAAGACAAGAAAAATAAAGATCCACCTCCTTTAATAGGGAAAAGGAAGTGTGAGTGGGTTCTGATGACTTCAGTAATATTTCATTATATGCCAGCCAGATCCTCACACTGAAAAGATAAGGAGGTGCAAAATGAGTACAGAAAAACATAGAAAACAAAATAACAAAACACAAAACAAGAAGCCCACAATCTAATCTTGAACAGATAAAAATAAATAAATTAACTTTTATGTGACCGATCAGATATCAGATCAATCCTGGACACAATTTTTGCACATAATTCAGGCAGGAGAACTACTGCTAGTATGTTGAAACAAAATCAACTTGACAAAAAATGACACTATAAAGGCAAGTAGCATTTTGCTTAACACTATTCAAAGAACCTTGTTTCTGTATTACAGAAAACACTCTTCTCTAAATAGAAACAGAAAATTTCATATAAGAGCTACAAGAATGAAACTTATTATGATGCCTGCATACCTAACTCACCTCCCATCAGAACTCGCTGTAGCCAACAAAACTTGAGGACTTGAAGAATCAGAATCAAGCAAAGCCCAACTAATTGCTGTGATCCATGAATCGTGTGCCTGAAAGATCCCAATGAGCACCACAGAAGCCGGAACCCTGCTTTGATCAACAGAGTAGCACTCTGGCACAGGCATTCTCCATAATGAAACTTTCCCAGACTTCCCTCCAACTGCAAGTACAGAGATTGCTGCCCCATCTTGAGGAACTGAAGAGATTTTGGGTACTGACTGCAGCATTGGTGACCAGGAAACTACAAGTGATGATAGCATTGCACTGCGAGAAGCATATTGATCTGCAGTTATAGAAGGGACTGTGCAATTTTCTGGCATCTTCCTGAAAGATTTTACTTTAGATTTTGAAGCACGGACATTCTGATTTGAATTCTT